AATCCAGTTATTTAAGTTAGGAAATCAGTAGTATCTGTTCAAAATTTGGTGTTTCCCAGCAAATGCCTATGATCAGGCGCTACTAAAAGTGAATTAGTGGCCCCATTGGGGATCTGGGGGCCCAATTGGGGCTCTGAGAGACCTGATTTTGAGATATAACCAATGCAGTTATTTAAGATAGGAAATCAGTAGTATCCGTTCAAAATTTGGTGTTTCTAGCTCTTACCATTTCGGAGAGCTATGCTAATTATCAGTGGGCCCAATTGTGGATCTGGGGGAACTGGGGGAACCGATTTCGAGATATAACCAATGCAGTTATTTAAGATAGGAAATCAGTAGTATCCGTTCAAAATTTGGTGTTTCTAGCTCTTATCATTTTGGAGATCTTTCAGGACAAACAAGCAAACAAACTTTCTGAAATATTTATAAGATTAAAATTAGGTTTCATAGATTGTAAGTGGTTTAAAGGTTTGATCAGATAGTTTCTCACTAAAGGAATGTTCATATAGATATTTATAAATGTTAAAAGCAGAAATAAAAATATACATTTCCAAGTATTAAACAAATTTTACTCTCATCTGGTGAAATGGAGCAGCAAGGATTTTTTTTTTATCTGCTTTGTACTTCTTTATTGCGTTCCCAGTATCCAAATCTCTAGGTTCACAAGAAGACCAGCATGGCAGATCTATCTTGATCTTAGCATGTTCTAACCTAAAACTTGGTCTATACTATCAAATCATGTCAGTATAACTGTGTTGCTCAGACAGGCCCTCTAATGGGGGGAGGGGCAAAGAGTGAAAATGCCCCACTGCCCAGCTATTTGAAGGGCCTTGGGCTCCCAGGCATTGCTACTGCTACTATGGCAGCTGGAACTCCAGGCCCTTTAGAATCGCTGCCAGAGCAGCACACAGTACGCTCCAAAGCCCAAGCCACATGTTCTGGCTGGCTCTGAGGGCCAGCAGTGGAGGAGGGGACCATCCAGGCAGTGCTGGGGGCTGACTGTCTCAGCCCCGCCCCTTCCCCCTGAGGTGCCACCCCTTCTGGGAACACAGAACTGATTCCCTCCAGCTCACACATTGCCCAGGGGGCCAGCAATCCTGTTGGGTCCCTTGTGCTCAAGGGTGTAGATAACTGAATCTGTGTCCCTCAGACCCAGACTACTGTACTAGCCGCAGGACCCTGTAAAATGAGTATAAAATGCTCCCCGCTCTGAGGGAGTTTTTGTGACTTAATGTTTGCAAAGCAGTTTCAGATTGTCAGGTAGGGGTATGTCTACACTACCTCCCTAGTTCGAACCGAAGTTGCAAATGAAGCCGAAGTTGCAAATGAAGCCCAGGATTTAAATATCCCGGGCTTCATTTGCATCTTGCCGGGCACCGCCATTTTTAAAGCCCCGGTAGTTCGGACTCCGTGCCCACGGTTGCACGCGGCACGGAGTAGGTAGTTCGGATTAGGCTCTCTAATCCGAACTACCGGTACACCTCGTTCCATGAGGAGTAACGGTAGTTCGGATTAGAGAGCCTAATTCGAACTACCTACTCCATGCCGCGTGTAGCCGCAGGCACGGAGTCCGCACTAACGGGGATTTAAAAATGGCAGCGCCCGGCAAGATGCAAATGAAGCCCGGGATATTTAAATCCTGGGCTTCATTTGCAACTTCGGTTGCCTACATTAACCACCCTAGTTCGAACTAGGGTGGTAGTGTAGACATACCCTAAAGGAAAGTCATTGTTATAACATGATGGAAAAAGGTCACATTGATTATGTATTCCAACTCTATAAGCCACTCCCTGATACCAATGTGACTTTCAGTGCTGTGAGAGCTATCAGCGTCAGTATAACTAAAAAAAGCAGAAGAGCAGACATATTCCCTGGATGCGGCGGAGTTTTTCATCCCTGAAAAACTCTGTAGTCTAGATGTAGCCTAAATGTAGTAGGAAACTACAATGGTTTTTCAGGCTTCTCTTTTAAAGAAAGCCTTTCCCATCTACAAAACCACCCTACTTCATCAAGATCATGTCCCTCATATCAGTATGGTATGACAGAGAACACAGAATCAAACTTAGTATCAAAGACCCTTGAATTCAGGAGTGGTTTAGTTCAGTATTGGAAAGGGGTTTTCTAAAACAAGATGATCTTTTTGATATACGACTGTCAAAGTAATCTCCGGTTGTCTTTTGCAAAGTTTATCACCAACTAATAAGTTAAAAATTAGATGTTTTCTTTACCTTTCATGAATGTGTTTAGCTAATTTATAAATAACATGTTTAATTATTCCTTACCAAGCAAAACACATTGATTATAGACATTTTATTCACATGAAAAATCAGAGGAATTTTTTAAGGCCAAAAAAACCTACACTGTTATCCTGGTACGGTTATTTAAATATCTGTCACAACATGGAAGGTATTAAATCCAAAACAGATAGGCTACGTCTAGATTGCATCCCTTTTTCGTAAAAGGGATGCAAATTAGACGTATCGCAATTGCTAATGAAGCGAGGATTTAAATCTCCCCTGCTTCATTAGCATAAAAATGGCTGCCGCTTTTTTTCGGCACGGAGCTTTGCCGGAAAAAAGCGCCAGTCTAGATGTGGATCTTTCGGAAAAGAAAAATCTTTTGGCCTTTTCCAAAAGATCCCTTATCCCTTATTTTAAGAGGGATAAGGGATCTTTCTGAAAAGGCTTTATTTTCCGAAAGATCTGCGTTTAGACTGGCACTTTTTTCCGGCAAAGCTCCGTGCCAAAAAAAGCGGCAGCCATTTTTATGCTAATGAAGCGGGGGAGATTTAAATCCCCGCTTCATTAGCAATTGCAATACGTCTAATTTGCATCCCTTTTACGAAAAAGGGATGCAATCTAGACGTAGCCATACTATACAACTGGATACATAATGGATATTTGATTAAGCATGGATAGCATATTTTTATACTGGTATCTTTTCTTGGAGCCAGAAAGTATATTTGTGCCTAATTAATATCATAGTATGAATTTTAAAACAGGAAATTTGTGAACACTATACTTCCTTTCTCTATGAAAAAGCAGTCTTTTCTAAAAATCTAATATGCTAAGAAGAGTGATCTTCTAGCTATCCTATGCTACATTGCATATGTTTTCTCATTGAAATGTTCTTGTTGCAGTTTTATAGATTGTTTGAGAGGAATAATGTTCATAAAAAGATATCATTTAAAATGTGAACTAAAATGATTTGTCTTAATGTTTCTATGAATCACAGAATATCTATGCACCAATTTGGTAACCTTCTCTTTAATTCCAAATGGAAAAGGCATTTGATAATGAAATTACTGTAATTTTAGACCACTTTGTTTTTTGATGTATTATTGTGTATATAATTTTTTCCTTTAAAAGTGTGATCTTTGTATATTACTATGTCAAGCTCAGATTAATCATGACAAAAAAACATTTTCATAACCCAGGAAATGTTAACATATTTCATTCCTTGCTTTGGAAAGATAAAAGAAATGATCACAGAAACACATTTTAATTTCCATTCTACCCTGAAGTCCATTTCAGTGATGTAATTTGCATGTCGACCCTGTTTTCACCCACAAATTACTTTAATCTGTCATGTCCATATTTTGTAGTCTCTGGCTTTGTTTTATGTTTGCGTTGTTTTAAATTTGCATGCTGTCTATATTACTTGTGCATGACATCTACATTAATTTCAAGTTGAATGTTTGCTTACTCTGAAAGACATTCATGGATCATTTATTTTACATGTGTATTTTTCTTTTGTTTTCAGTTTTAAAAGTTTTAATATGCTTGAAATGTAAAAGTGGCATGAAACTTTTGTGACACAAGTAAAATAACTGTTTTCATAGGTTTTTAAGTAGTTAAAACTTTTGATTTCACATCTTTTAGAAATCTTTTGTAGAACTTCTACTATGCTGTTAATACAATAAATTATAAGTCTCTAAACTTATTTAATTATATATTTAGGACCAAATCTTGGTTCCTTTATTCATGCAAATAGTCCCAAAGAAATTGGATTATTTGCTTGAATGAGATGAGAAGAAATTGATTCTGAATACTTAATGCCTACATCCTGCTACCATTTAATATTATGTGATGAAGCTTTCTAACCATCAACAAAACGTACACCTTTTCACACAAAATCCCCATTCATCTAAGTATTAACTCTGCATATGCAGGGTTATGATAGGATATGCAGCTGAATTTGCTAAGAAATATTGTACAGCAGCAGATGACAATTACTAAATTATATAAAGCTGACACTATATGCACCATGACTAATGAATGTCTGTGGTGTACAAAGTAAAATGAAAGTATTGTCTCTGATTATTTGAATAAGTCTTTGAATTGTACCTAATTTCAAAATTAAGGAGAGGGAGATAAAACTTTTATTAGGGAACTTGGAACAGCTGCCAAAAATAAATATTTTAATTAGCACAGAATTTAACTTGCTTGCCTATGGGAAGTGAATCTGTGGGTCCCTTCAATTTCCTCTTGACAGCTATTATGGCTAAACATCAGTGGTCTTCTTTTGAGATACACTGAGCCACTCACAATTGCCATTGACTTCAATTTGAGTGGCAGTGCTCAGCATTTCTCAACTGATGTTCCTTTAAGAGGGCTGAATGAAAATCCCAGATCCAAGCACCCTGAAATTTGGATGGAGGGAGGAAGGGAAATCAGACTCTATGACTATATTTGGATACAGATGTTGTAAATGGGTCCTATCATTATAGTGGACTGAACAACCCCAAACTTTGGAGTTTCAAAATCTAGATCAGTAGTTTGAGTCCAACTATAAAAAAACCAATCAGTCTTCAAGACACTATATCCTTAAACTGCAATCCCTCTTGAAAATCATGTGCGTGATTCTTTGCAGCCACTTGATTTTGACTGGTTTGAGTCACGACAGTTCTCTCCACTTTTACAAACTAGTTGTTTTGTCAGCATGAGTGTGACAACAATTAGACGTCCCTGTTTTTGCCCCATGCCTTTTCTCCTTCACAGTCATTCAATGACAAGCGTAAAAAGAACTTCATCTTTTCACGAAAATTCCCATTCTACAAGAGCAAGGAGCAGAGTGAGCAGGAGACAAGTGATCCAGAACGTAAGTAATCTCTTGGAGATGATGTCACATGCAGCACAAAAAATGGGTGACACGCATGACACCAGAACCCCACACATCTAGGCAAACAAACAGTAAAGGCAGGCAGGTGAGGTATTACTACTGTGACCAATGTATGATTGCAGTCTGGATCTAGCTGGTGCTCCCTTCCTGTCAAACATCTCTTTCAGAGTAAGTTAAAGCAGTGACCTTGACTTCTGGCTGGACAAATTCCATGTATAAATTTCTTCCCTTTGTCATAAAATTTGCTGATTATTTTTCTTGTTTTAAATTCAGTTTTTTCCTACATAAAATGTTCAAATCCAGGACTGGCCCAAACTGATGCAAAATCAGTTTCTCTTAAATTATTACATTCATTTTATTTTTTGATTGAAAACCCCCCAAACATTCCAGTAGCATTTTTGTGTCTATTACTTTTTTGACTTAATCTAAATGGCTCCAGTCTCCTTGTTGATTACTTTTGTTTACTTTGTTGAGTGTTAATCTTGAAATAAAAGCCACAATCAGTGATTTTTTTCTATTTCTCAACATTTTGCTTCTAATTTTAAACAGTAAACAGAATTATAATCCTCTAAATAGAATCTGGTGATTCACTCCATGCCTATATTATATATTCCGAGTACCCAGAATAATTTAATGTGTATTCTGGTGTTATACCAGAAGAAAATTACCTTTTTTTCCTCCTCCTTTAAAGGTTTCTTTGTGCTGGGTTTTTTTTTTTTTTTTTTTTTTAAAGTTTTGGTTTTATTTAACTGTAGGAGCCGAGAATACATAATGGTCACTGACGTTTTCATTGAAAACATTACATTGGGATATGGATTTAAAGTTGTTTCAAAAAGAGAAAGCAGGGATCCAGACTGCTCCATCTGCATGGTCAGTCATGGTAGTATCCATTTCAACTCCACTGACTTCTTCCTTCCTCTTCTGCGGCTGTTCTTCCTTTCTCATTGCTCTCTCTGGGGACTTCCGTGCAGGACATCCCCGGATTAGGTGACGACGGTTATGGAACAAAGACTCTGAGTAAGTTCCCAGGAATGGTCACTTCAACTTTTTTTTTGTTTGTGTTCTGTTTTTGTTTTGACTTTTGTTCCTTCTCTAAGGACCTTCCATTCCCAGCATGCACAAGATAGAGTTTTATTTGTTACCCAGCTGTGAATGCATCAAAAATGTTTCAATTGTTTTGTTCTGCATGACAGTATTAAATAACTTACAGTGTATCAAACAGACACTTTTACTTCTGATGTAATAACACCTTTTGTTTCTGACAATGTTTTTATTCCCATCATAGCAGTTCTGTAGACAGTAGCATATCTAGAACTTGTACTGCTGCCTAGAATATGCCTTTGAGCAACAATCCGTCTTGATATGAAGATCTTGAAAAGATCAATAGAAAATTTACACTACCACTTCTTCATTTTCAGCTTTTTGCATGGGAGTGTTTGTTAATTTGCCAGACTGTAGATTAGTACCTTGCTGTTAATAGAAGAACCTATTTGCAGGCAAGAAAAGACCTAACCTTCTCTATAACTAATTTTAGATCTGTATCACCAATAGCAACCTATCCTTTGTCACTACACTTTATCAATTTCTTTTTCTGGTATGTGGTGATCCTGCCTCAAGGGTTGTTATTATAGATTTGTGGCAATTTGTCAGCTGATTCTTCAAAAATAATTTGGGTTTTGTAATTCATTTCTAGGGAATTTCAATAAAATACATTATTTGCAAAACTGAATTCCATATATTTAGCTATATTAGTATGGTGTATCCAGCCATCAATAAGTCCAGCATAATAATAGTACTTACTGGTGTATTGGCTGTTTTCTTCTTTCAATGCTTATTCTTTTTCTTAAGACACTGATTAATTGAGGCATAATGTATGTGAATGTTACCACTGCATCACCTATTTTATATGTGCTTTTGATTACGAAAATGCACGTTCATTCACACATTTGAAGAGATTATTAAACACCTGGGATTTTATTTTAATTGACATTAAATCATGTAATGGTTGACTTTCCCTTTTAAATGTGGAAACTTTATCTCTTGAAAAGCAGAGGGAGAGTTCTACAATGCTGGTTTTCTGGATAATGGGCAACAAATGTCATTGTCATAAGAATTTTGAGACTTTAAGAAAGTGCCTTCTCCGCGTTGCATAAAATGTATCAGAGTCCATCCATTTAAATAAAGCCCTTTTGAATAACTCTGTCCAATAAAAGACAGATCTCTGTAATATACCATTTTACTCTGGTTGCAAACTATTTGCAGACTTTCTCAACTGTTACTATCGAAGCTAATTGTTATCTGTACTAATATATACATTTTAATGGCATTCAGCCTTCCTATGGGCTGTAAAATTTTGGTTAATATAAGCCATCATGATTCTGTATATAACATCAATTTGGTATTACATGTGTTAAATACCACTACTTCAGATCTGCAAATATGATAAATTTTGCTCCAAATGTAGGTTTTATAAAAATTAGTCTTTTGCTAAATCCTGTGTGTTCCATGATTGTTTTTAATTGTCATTCCACCCTTTCTCCTCTCCCCCCTCGCCCATTCCTGCAATGCTACTCTGCCAACCATGCACATGAGCAATTTTGGATATTTGGAGGCAAGACAAGGTGCTCTTGTGATATTGTCACTTGACAGGTCCATGAGGAAGCAACCTTGGCCACGAATGCTGATTCTGCTGTTACTCTCTCTTTGAAGAGATTAACTTCTGTGAACTGCTCCCCTTTACTGTGAGGATATGGACCAGCTGCACGTGGGCAGTCAGGTTAGATAGGAGTCCAAGGATTATTGTGGAGGAGTTAGGCCTTTCTAAGCCTCAGCTCTCCACAGATGCTCCAGTCTGTGGATCCCAGGACATTTGCCAGCCATGCCACCTGCCCACTTATTTTCAGTACCTCATTCAGTACTCATACATGGTGGCTAGAAGCTCAAACTGCTTTCTTCCTTTCACCTCCTCAATCTGCAGCAGGGCCTGTGCCTTAGTTGAAGGTGAGGTGGATGTGGGCAATGTAAAGCACCAGCTTTTCATTTGAGGAGTGTTTTGGCAAAAGACATTATGTTGCAGACGTGTAACCTACACATCTGCTGGGTGTGTTTCACTGTCCCATATTGTGGCACTTAGACCACTTACAGAGGGAAAGAATGAGTTTGCTCTACAGCCTTAGCTGAGAGCCAGCTGACTTTTAGCTCAAGTTCTAGAGGCTCATGCACTAAACTCCAGAGTTCCCAGGTTTGGTTCTGCTTTTTGGCATTACAGAAGCACATTCTGTTTGTCTTGGAACTAGGTTTTTAATTCCAATCACATCTAATTATGAAACTATGATTGGTGTGATATTCAGCTTTCTCCGGCAATAACTTTCCTGTAAAAATCAACAACAGCCCAGACCTGTCCATCAACAGTACAAAATACAGAAATGTTTGGCAGCTCCTAATAGCCTTTATCAGTAATTTGTATGTGACCTGGAGACTTTGTCAAGGAGGTGTAAGTGTCCCAAGTCCACATGTTCATTAGCTTAGCAATATAAACCCTAGTGGCAGAGCAGGCCATGCAACTGTATAGGCATCATGGCCCAAAAATTCAAAAGTGGCCTCTCATTTTGGATGGCTCTGTTTTTTGGTACCCAACTTTAGACATACATAGGACTTTGCATGTATACCAGTTGAATTCAGTCAATCCGCCACCCAAAAATAGTAACTACAGATCACTATGCCATTCATTCCCTCTATATCTGCTAGGAGCTGTCATATTCTAGAAAAAGGAAACCAACCTTAAATAAGTTAGCTGAATTGAGGATGAAATTGAGTCCCCTATAAGCATCTATATGAACTTTTTACAAATTTTGGGATGGGGGCTCATCTCTCTCCCCTATCCTTCTATCCCAGTAAATGAGCATTAGCAGAACAAAAGGCATAAACTGTAACCAGGACCTCTTAGCTGTAGTGTGGAGGGCTGTGGCCAGCTGCAAGTGGGGAGTCAGTTCCAGTCGGCGGCTATCCTCCATGTTCTGAACAATGGATTTTCCATGCCATGTTTGAACTCTTAACTCACAAAAGATTAACCCCATCTGACTTTGCAAGCCCTAGATGACCATAGACAACCCAAGCTCCCTTTTATATGAAATTTTGCAAAGTTCTTCATGCCCTTACTGAGTTCCAATGATATCTGCCCAGAGCTACCTGGATGGTGGTCTCACTCTAAAAGCACAATGGAAAACCCATTAGTTCTGCCAACTGCCCCTTTATAAACCACCTTTCTGTAATGCATTACATATGGATCAACTTTCCAGCGATCATTTAATTGGGGAATTGAGTTAGTGGGTCTAGTGAAGACCTGGCAAATTGACTAGAGAACACTCTCCAGTTGACCTCAGCACTCTACTCTAAATGAAAAGAGTAAGATAAATCAATGGGAGAGTGTTTCCCATTGACCTAGCAGTGTAGACACTGCAATAAGTGGACCTAAGCTATGTCAACTCTAGCTATATTATTCACTTAGCTGGAGTTGTGTAACTTAGGTTGACTTACTGCAGTAGTGTATACTTAACCTCAGTCCTACTCCTAACTCCTTCAGACACAATTTCTGTCCTCTTGGTCCCAGCAGGCAAGATATTTGTGGAAGACAGAATTGAGGACTCTGAGGCTATGGCTAGATGGCAGGCTTCTTTTGGAAGAAGCTTTTCCAGAAGAGATCTTCTGAAAAAAACTTCTTCCAAAAGAGAGCATCCACACTGCCAAAGCGCATCGAAAAAGCGATCTGCTTTTTCAACAGATAGCGTCCACACTGAATGGATGCTATCTTACATGTAAGCTGTGATTACTGTGGGTGGAGTGGCCACCAGGGCACCTGTGCATTTTCCTCTTTCCTCTTCTATTGAAAGAACTCCCTCTTCCCCATCCACACACGCCTTTTTCTGAAAGAGCTCTTTCGGAAAAGACGTTCTTCCTCGTAGAAAGAGGTTTGCCAATGTTGGAAAACCCCCTCTGTTCTTTCAATTTTTTTTTAAGAACATGATTGCAATGTGAACGGAAGTGAGGTTTTTTTGGAAAAGCAGCCATTTTTCTGAAAAAAAAAAAACCCTCTGTAGTGTAGACATACCCGGAGGCTGGGAAGGGCAGAGAGTGTTGTTATGGAGTTTCTTGCATTTTTCGCAGAAGCAACTGGTACTGGAGACAGGATACTGGACTAGTTGGACCACAGGTCAGCACCCTGCTAGCAATTCCTATCTTTCTATGGCCACATTTAGGCTACTTCTGAGAGAGTTCCTCCTTCCGCTAGCCCAGATCTTGAGGGCATTAATCTTGGTAACTACCAGTATTGCCTGAAAAATTTTACAGCAAGCCCTGTTATTTTCATGAGAGGTGTTATTGTTGTATGGAGAACTTTAAATAAATAAAAAGAAAACATGGGGTAAACATGCCCTTTAGTTTGCAAGCCCTGACTACAATACCTTGCACAATGACTAATAACTGGCACAAAGTGTGGAAGAAGAGCTCTATTATGAGAGCAGTTCCTATGTCTAAATATCCAGGTCTTTGCATAATTAGCCTATAGGTCTAGGGAAGTGTGAATGGACTGCTGTGTATTTTGGCTTGCAGATGTTTGAGATGTCACTGCCTCTTTGTGCAGTTCCTCAAGGTGGAGAAGTGCCACTGCCAGAAAAGTAACTAGCCACAGCTGTGTAACCTCCTTCTTAACTTGCCAAGAGATAAAGCTTTCATCTTAATGATATGAGTTATCTGAGGTTTTCAGATGGAGCTGCTGCACTGATTTTACTTCCACTCTGAACACTCACCTTTGCATGAATGTGGCAAATCTTTTTAAGTTCCAGCTGCTTCATGGTGCTTGGTTATATTCTTTAATTTGCTGTACTGTTCTTGCAGAACATGTTTCCTCTAATGCCAGCGATAGCGAAAGTAGCTACAGTAAGTTATTGCTTTCGTTTGGGGCTCTTTGCATTGCATTGCTTATTTTATTTTGTTTTTCTTTCCTTGCTGATCTTTTTTAACTTCAAAAATAAAAGATTATTATTTGAGCAAATGGTTTGAAATGCAAATTCCTAACCGTATTTCAGGAATTAAACTATAAAAGAGAAATGGCATCTTTTATGCAGCTAATGAGCATGAGTTTTGTTAATTTGAATGCTTTCTGAGAAATGAAACCAATCCTGACTTTGGGAAGGTTTGTGAAAATCTAGATGTCTTGGGTACTAATTGGTAATTTAATCTCAGCAGGGGTGGCTCCACTTTATCACAGTATTTCTCGATGACTCTTTTAAAAGGAAAACTGCTCCACAAGAGTCACATGCACAAAAACAGTTTCACTTCTGCAGTTGTAATTTGCACCAATACTTCAGTACCTGCATTTGAGTTGCAAATAAAGAAATCAAATGCAAGTTCTCTGATTTGAAGATGCACTTCATTTTCTTGGTGTCAATTTCATAAATGCAGCTTGCACCTTCAGAAAGATAGGACAGGCCTACAGCCTTTGGAAACTTTAACTTGAATCCCAAAGATTCCTTCATAATTGAGCTCATGATCACACAATTTTAGCCATGGAGAAGGACCGCTATATTGTGCCAAAGTCCCATTGAGTAATGGGCATGGAGTCCATTTGTATGAATCAGATTGTGGGATCAAGACCTTAATGGGGATCATTTGTATCACATCACTCCCCCATGTGTATAAATGATACTGAAATATTCAGGGAACATAAAATGTTTTCCAGAAAATGATGGAAAAAGCACTAACTAATTCAAATTTGGCATGATTGTATGTGAAAAAGATAACAAAAAATCTGGGTTACTTTCCAAATCTCTGATTGCATCAAGCCATTTGCTTTGCATATGCAGTTCACCAATCACAGAGCACTGTCTTGGGTTAAGAACCTGTATATGTTATGTTAACCATTGGTTTCATACTGTGTAGTGACTGGTGTTGATATAGTGTATAGCCGTCAGTTACTGTTAATAAACACTGCTTTGTTTCAGCCAAGTAAATTTTTTACTCCATTCAGAAATGGAAGACTAGTTTTTATTCTCTTGTTGTAAAAATGATTTCTTGGAAAGCAGTTGCCAGAACTACAAGAAAACTGTAGGCACATTGAAACTGCAGAAAATTCTCAATAATCCTGCTTAATATTTGTTGTGTCCTCTGTTGGGGGAAAGATTGATGGTCTTGCAATCAGTGCGCAAGGCTGAGTCCAGATTCTTTTCCTACTTCTTTCTTAGATTCTGTAGGACCTTGGGCAAGTACAATAGGGCTTAATTTTCTAAGATGTGTATGAATGGCTTATCATTCACACAGGCACTGCTGAAATTTTTACCTGTAGCATAAACTATGAAATTTTCAGTCCTATGGGGACACTCCTTGCTGCCTACTAACTTTTTTTAAGTGAAAGGAAAAAACTAAAAGCTGATTGAGGGGAAAAGCAAATTTCGAGCATACAAAAGATCTCATACAATGAATAATTCAGTTCTTGTTCTTCCCTGCAGAGTCAGGTTAGCTGGGGGACTCAGCCCCATCACTAGAACTTGGCATTAGCTGCATTTGGAGCCAGCTATGTTCCAAACAAGCTCCTCAACAGGATTGCCATTGTGATTTAGATAGGAAGCCAGAGGTTTGGGTGATCAGAGAAGATGTGCAAGTTACTTTACTAGTACGTAGTGAGATAGGTGCTTATATAACTGGCTGTAAACTGCCAGCTGGTAAAATGTATAGAAAACTGAGAGATTAAGGAAACTGTGAGATTTAGAAAAAGAAGGGAGTGGCAAGTGTATGGGTGGGAGGAGTGAAGTCCTGCAAGATTTTCACATTTTTCCCGATCAGACAGGACAGATCATCCCCACAATCTGAGTAAGATGTTCTGCATTTTTCTAGTAGGATTCTGGCTACTGTTTCCAGATGTTCTTACTTTTGTTTCTCATGATAGATAATGAGTAAAAAGGCACTCTGTTCATTGCTAGTGTTATTACCTGGTCACTCTCAGAACCATTCCAAATCATCTATGCAATTGTGAAAGTTTGGCAATGAAGTCTTCTTAGTGTTGTTTAGGTGGAACTTGTTAGAGAGATTAATAGAGGCGGTCAAAAATGATGTTTGTTTCTATGGAAAATTAGAATACAAACTATTTCAGTTTTCAGCAAAAGTATGTCATTTGTTAGTGTTTGGTTTCTCTGACAACAAAATTAAAAATGTCCATGGAAAGCAGGTACATTTCACATAGAAAACTTTATTTAAGCAAAAACCCAATTTTCTGTCAAAAAACAGCATGAAACGGAAAAATTTTGATCAGCCTTGCAATTAACTTGTTCCATAGAGAGAATATTAACTCTTTTGCAAAAACTTATATAACATAACTAGAAATCTAATAAAAAGGTGTGAGAACCAATTGTCCTCAGTTACTTATTAATCCCATTGACTTAACATTTGAGAGTAGAATTGGGTCCACTTTACAAAATAAAAGCAACTTCTGATCTGTAATATGGCATATAAGTCCTGGTCTAGAAGCAAGTTATTATTGTAATTAGTGTCCATCCAGCTATTTTTGAGTTATTTAATCAAACATTTCAACATTACATGTGTTTCTCAGGAAAGCTATTGGTCAAACTCTGTTGATTGTTTTCAAACCAAGTTTAGAGGAAATCATTTCACATGTGGATTAATCTTTTTGTTTTGAAATGGCTGTGAATTTAATACTTTTTGCTCACAATTCAATAGCTTTTTACAGCAGCCATCAAGAATTGCATGTGTTTTACTAAATCTATTTAACCTAATTGCATAATTGCACTAATTAACTAGAGAGGCAATACTTGACTAAAACTTGGGGAGGAAGGAGAAAAGGAAGCATTTATGCACATGAGAAAGATCATTAAGGACCATAGTTTACCCTCTTTATGTAACCTGGGCTGCAATTAACATTATGAGACTTCTTTACATAGAAAAAGCTTAAAGTAGTCTTCTTTAGTTATCGGGTGAGCCTAATTGTTAAGGATAATACCATTTAGATTGATACCAACGCACACAGAGGGCAACTATAATGTTATCACCAGCACGTTGTGCTTTGTATTGCTATGGAAGACTTCTTTATAAATCTGATCAAGAACTACATAGAGTTTACATATGTGTAATAGTCACAGATTACTTGTCAATCCTACATTAATTCTCAGATAGCTGTGGATATGAGTATATGGATCATACTTGATCCCTAATCCCAACTTTTTTGTAACGGCTACAATAGAAAAATGTCATCATCTGAATACAAGCAGTATACCATTATGTAAATACAGACACCATAGAAAGATATTTTTGTTGGAAGTCGATAGTGCCTTCCTGGAGCAGACCTTATAAAGGGTACATCTACACAGCCGCGTTATTTCAGAAATAAAAATGAGCATATCTACACTGCAAGCCATTATTTCAAAATAATGTCAATGTAAGCGAGAGAATGGTCCCGCTATTGTGGGGAACTTTCCTGGCTTCTATACTACCCCGGTGAAATGGACCAGCGAAAGGATCTGAGTCCCTGCTCCCACTTCTTTTACCCAAAGGCCTCCCTGAAGGCTCCCCCCCCACTCTCCTGAGTAGCAGAGTCCTCGAAATCCCAACAAGGTTGGGCCCAGGTTTTCTGGGGCTTAATCCCCAACCTTGTAGTCACTTAGGGCAGAGGTTAGGGTGTCCCTACTCTGGAGTGCTCTCTTCACACTGGATGCTTTCTTGACCCACTGATCATTACATACAGTTTAAAGTGAATACAATTTATTAAACAGCAACTGGTTAAAAAAGAAAAGAATAAGGAAAAAATGAGAAAGGTTAAAAGAGAACACATAATCCCACTCTGTAGCATTGGGACATCACAAATAGCAGTTTGCAGAGTGTAAGGACAGTTCACAGTCTGTCTGTTCCTTATAGGTCCCAGGGCTCTTTCTCAGGCCCTGGCTGTGCTGCAGGGGAGCTGCAGGTTGAACATGCTTGCTCTGGCAGTGACCACATGACTTCAGGCTCTAGGTGGCAGGACCTCTCTCCCAGTTGGAGTTACAATCCCTCTCCAAGTCTGGCTTGCAGGGCCTCTTGGCTGGTGGTGTCTCCCTGCTCAGATCCTCTTTTCCCCCCATTGCTGGTTCCAGCTCCAGACTATGCTGCTTTGACAGCCTCCAGCTCCTTGCGTTGCTTCTCTGACCCCTGTGGCTCTGGTCACTGCAGGGCTACTTCTCACTATGTCACTGCACAGCTACTTCTCACAACAGCTTGCTCTCCTTCCTGCTCTTCTTAGCTCTCTCCCCCTTTCAGAGACCCAGAAAATCCCAGCTCACACCAAGGACGGGACCTGGCCTCCTAATTCCCTCATTGGTCTGTCCAAGCTGTCAATCTGGCCGACCTGGAGTTTTGGCCTCTTCCCATTGTTGCTGGGGACAGTTAGTCTGAGGGCACTGATTTATCATGGACCCTTCCCCTTTTGGTACTGGGAGCTGGCCAACCAAAACCTCCCACTGAGTTTTAGTAAGGGGCTATAAGTCCCTTACATCGAGTTGGAGGACTTCTTACTCTGACTCCTGTAACCCTCATTTCACAAGGAGTAAGGGCAGTCAAAGGAAGAGTGCTCTTCCTTTGACTTCCTGATATGTGTAGAGCGCCAAAAGCCGAAATAAGCTATTTCAACTTAAGCTAAGCAATTGACGTAGCTCAAGTTCTGTAGCTTAATTTGACTTTTGCCCCGCTGTGTAGACATGCCCATATAAAACAAGACTATGAATTAAAAGGCTATCGTGGAGATATCATAAACCATGTGAGTATAACACAAGTGATCTGTATAGTTACTAAAATGCACCAGGACTCCATAACTGTCCTTCTCTGGTTTTGGATCTAACTTGGAACCAGAACGACAGGGACAGATTCAAAAATTAGAAAGGGTGCAAATGATAAATTCCAGTTTTAGCCCATCTCTGTGTATTTTACAGATGTCGTAATAAAATTGTAAGTGGGGGGCACTTTTGATTAACATTAACATTCACTAAGATTTTTAAGCTAAATTACATTTTAATTGTCTGCTTAATACTACTTAATTATTATGTAGTGAATACAGTCTGCCTTCTTGTTATTGGATTCCTTTAGAGCCCTCCCACGCACAGTCCATTAAAACAGTGGTTGTGGTTCTCAACCTTTACTATACTGTGACCCCAAGTTACACCAGAAAAGAGAGTGGATGGTGGCAGCTCCTTGAAATCCATTTGTGTTCTCCTTGGGAGCTGCACCGAGTTACTCTGCACTTATCTTTTAGTCTTAATGGATGAAATTCACCTCACACACTCCTTAAAACAAGTTGCACATCCCTAAACCAGGACTCTCTTATCTGGCAACATCCATAGTCCAACAAGACCATGGATGTTCCTGGATAATAGAGCCCCGAGACAGGAAGGCCAGCAGCTGAAAACCCTATGCAGGTGATGTTGGTTGTAGCAGGGCCAGGGCCTCGACAGCCTGGCAGCAGTAGTGGGACCACAGTAGCAGGGCAGGGCAACCTGGCTGGGGCCACAGCAACCTAGCTGGGGCATGGAAGCCCATGTATGCTGGCCTGGCAGCGGGACTGGAGCCATGGCAGTTTGGCTGGCAGCAAGGCCAGGCTGTGGCAGACCAGCAGGGAAAGCCTGTCTGTGTCCATGGCAACCCAGCTGGGGCTAGGGCAGCTCAGTCAGGGTATGTCTACACTACAAAGTTAATTCGAACTAACAGACGTTAGTTCGAATTAACTTTGATAGGCGCTACACTAGCGCTCCGCTAGTTCGAACTTAATTCGAACTAGCGGAGCGCTTAGTTCGAACTAGGTAAACCTCATTCCACGAGAACTAAGCCTAGTTCGAACTAACCAGTTCGAATTAAGGGCTGTGTAGCCACTTAATTTGAACTAGTGGGAGGCTAGCCCTCCCCAGCTTTCCCTGGTGGCCACTCTGGCCAACACCAGGGAAACTCTATTGCCCCCCTCCCGGCCCCGGCCCCCTTAAAGGGGCACGGGCT